AAACCTTGCCACGCAAACCCAACACAGCTACTGTGTGCTTTTGCAGCAAATTGAACATCTGAGACCAGCACAAACCTATGTAATCTTTGCCGACAAAACCAAAAGTGATTCATTATGCCAATCCTGTCTTGTATTCCCCTGACTTGATTGTTCCACTTGCATAAAATCAACCAGAATGGACTGGACCAGTGGTTCCTTACAGCCTTCACTTCACTGGAACCTTGACAGATGAGACTGCAAGAGTAGCTGCAGACAAGACAAGACTGTGGCAAACAGACTGTGAACTAGACTATCTACATTTAGCACCTTTTACCAAGACTACCCCTATCCATGGATCTGGGCCAGATTTGAAGAGCAACTGCCGTCCAGTACAACATAGATTTCTTTTAAATCCTAAGAAAATCTCTATTGATCTTAGTCATCATTCCTTTCTGTAAGAAAATTGTGGTCATCTGAGATATGTTCTCCCTGAATTGTAAAAATATAGATAATTTAGCAGCAGAAGAATAAATACATTATATACTGAGTTTGGTATCTAGTTTTAAATTTTTATAGCTCCACCTCAGCTTTCAAGCTTTTTGCCCAAATAGTGACTAAGCTCCTACAGCTTTAAAGAAAGGCATCTTAAATCAGCCAAGTCACAAACTAGTTGCCGTGACCTTTGTTATTATTAAAAAATGACAAAAACTCTATAGCACAGAGAGAGAGAGACAAGATTTGTGCATCTGATTCTTGGCATGTAAATCAAGCAGCTCACAAGCTAAATTACTGGCTGGCTGATTTATTTGTTTTCTAGTTAGACTTGCCATCGAAGAAAGCACATCTCTAAATTGTGACAAAACTCCTATGGTATTCAGTATACATGTTGTTATTTGCTTCCAAATGGGGTAGGAAGGACATTTTTACTGTGCTTTGGTTAGTGTTAAGAGGACATTGGATATTTATCTTTGAAACAGTCGACTTATTCCAGACATTGGAAACTAAGGTCCTCACTAGGACTAGCATAGAAATAAACAGGATGAAACACCAACCTGAAAAACCCCAGGATTTCTGAAGATTCATTGTGTAATTCTCTCTTTATGTTTGATACTTAGGCTTTGCAGTAAACAAATGTTTTTTGCCATTGGTATTAATGGAAGTTACAGAAGAAAATGCATGGCTTGAAAGAGTATATTGGCTGATGGCTTCACCTCAGCGTAACTGCTTCCTCTGCTTCTTCATGAATTACTCCAATATACCTGTACGAGGTGTCAGCAGCTTTCTACCACTGCTGCTACTTGGTACCCTGCTGTAGCAGAACCCCTGGCCACCAATCCAGTGAAGCCAAAAGTTGAACATACGTGGAGTATTTATGCTCTGAGCAGCATTAGCATACAGATTTTTAGGAGAAGCTCAGAGAGTCACAGAATAGCTGAGGTTGGAAGGGACCTCTGGAGATGATCTGGTCCAACCCTTCTGCTTAAGCAGGGCCACCTAGACCCGATTGCCCAGGACTGTCCAGGCAGCTTTTGAAGATCTCTGAGGACAAAGACAACCCACGCCCTTTCTGGACAACCCATGCCAGTGCTCGGTCACCCTCACAGTGAAAAAGTGTTTCCTGATGCTAAGAGGGAATCTCCTGTGCTTCAGTTTGTGCCCGCTGCCTCTCATCCTGGCACTGGGCACCACTGAAAACGCCCTGGCTCCATCCTCTTCACATCCTCCCTTCAGGTATTTATGTATGTTGATGAGAACCCCCTGAGCCTTCTCTTCTCCAGGCTGAACAGTCCCAGCTCTCTCAGCCTTTCCTCATAGGAGACACACTCCAGTCACTTCATTAACCCCCAGAATAATCTCCTATGAGCCAGCTGATCTGGCTTTCTACATTTTCTACACAATGTCGTCTAGTAATCTAGTCTATCTTGCAGCCTACGTTTGCTCTGCAAAATCTGTTTCACCTCTTTTTGGTTTAAGATCTCTTTACTTACCTCTGTACCAGGTAACAAGCATAAAAGCATAGTGAGACTGAAAGAAAAATTCTGCAAGTATCAAGAAATACATGCATACCTTATTTAAAATATATATTTTTAAATAGCAGAAAGAATTATATTAAAATAACACAGAAACCTACCAAGCAAAAATCATCTCAATAAGACTGTCATATACCAGTATGTATGAAGATCATATAACTATTTCAAGGAATTTTCTATGTACTATTCAACTGATTCTAATTATCACAGAATTACATGCTTGTGCTTAGATCTATTAAGCTATTACACAGCCAAAGTGGGGAGGCATTTATCCTCAATAATTGTGCTTAAAATGGGGAAGAAAGCCAAATGCCAGTGCTCAAAAGGTTTCTTGAGCATTAAAAATTCAAACAGTGACCTTGTGGGATTTTCAAAAACACCAAATGGCATTTTATGTATCTCATAGTTGTAGAAAATTAAATCCTCCATCAAATATCACATTGTATATCACCAAAATCTCTATTTTGGTAGGGTTTTTTTACAGGTACTCTAACATTCCCTGCTTCAGAATATTTTTCCCCTCAAAGTTTTGTCTTAACAATGTAAAACAGTCAGTGAACCAAAAGAAGAACTAGAGGCTATACACTCATACTTGCTTGTACCGCATTAGAGAGTATAATAGCAAGGCTTTCACTACGTGCCTATTAACCCCTGTATTATAAAAGAAACAACAGACTTTTTAAACCGATGGACTTGTGCAGGAAATAAAGAATGAATAGAAGAACCTACACTTCATCTTCCACAGGCACCCACTGCTGCCACCTACAGACGAAACAGATTCACCGCTCCTGCCAAACACTAGAAAATGTATTCTGCTACATTCAGTAATAGTAGTAATAAGTATTCCCCAGGGAACAAGTCTACAGTTCCCGAAACAATTCTTAATTTAGAAAATTAAGAAGCCCTATCATGTCAAAAATAACTGGCACCTTGCTATTTCTGAGTTATCAATGATATGTAAAACTTCAGGTAAATCATTTCAGAAATCTTCTCTAAACTTTCAGGATCTTCTTAGAAATCGGAAACCACTGAAATACATAACTTGCCTTTGATTATGTAGTACCGTTAATAACAGGTTAAATTATCTTTATTCTTCATTTACAGTACTTTAAGGACAGAACATGTATGCTCTAATTTCTCTAACAATGCCAACTGAAAGGCAATTAATCAGGTTTCAGCAGGCACACTGCAAAGCCAAACAGGTGAATTTCAGCACCTTGCTGTTTGCAAACACAGTATTACTACTTGGATGACTGTGACAGATTTTCACAGAATCACAGGATGGCTGAGGTGGTCCAGCTCCCCTGCTCAGGTAGGGCCACCTAGAGCTGGTTGCCCAGGAGTGTGTCCAGGCAGCTTTTGAAGATCTCCAAGGACAAAGAGTCCACCACCCATCTGGACAACCCATGCCAGTGCTCAGTCACCCTCACAGTGAAAGATTGTTTCCTCATCTTCAGAGGGAACCTCCCATGTTTCAGTTTGTGCCCAGTTTGTGTCACCATGACAGGACCAGAAGCAATGGCCCTGGGACAGAGCCTGGCTCCTTCCTCTATGCACCCTCCCTTCAGGTGTTTATATACATTGCTGAGATCCCCCTGAGCCTCCTCCTTCTCCAGGCTGGACAGTCCCAGCTCTCTCAGCCCTTCCGCATAGAAGAAATACTCCAGTCCCTTTGTCACCTTAGTTGCCCTTTGCTGGACACTCTCCAGTAGCTCCCCAACTTTCTTAAAAATGCTCAATCCTACATAGCTCCTATATGCCATACAAGAGCATATATAGCTCCTATATACGCTGTAAGTGGGCATGTTTTCAGAACATACAAATGATGCAGAAACAAATTTCTCCCAGCTTTAGGAAGAAGACAGGAGAGCCTGGACCTGCCTCTCACCGGGCAGCACCGAGGCACCGACCCCTCAAAGAAGAACATCGCCTTTATTCCACTGAATTACCACAGCTTTTGTTCCTAGAGGCCGAATTTTCAGCCAGAACCAGCCGGTGCCCCGCGGCGGCCGTGGGCCGGGAGGAGGTGCCTCACTGAGGGCGGGAGCGGAGCCACCTCACTGCCATTTCTCCTCACAACCAGGCGGAAGGCCCCGCGCCCGGCGCCGGGAGGCGGAGCAGGGGGATTAGTGGCTTCCGTTTTCCCGCCCTCGTCCCTCGGTGGTGTGAGGGGAGCGGAGCCGGGAGTGGTAGGGGGGGGATTTGCGGGGCGCTGCTGGCAAGATGGTGTCGCTGCTGCCGCGCATCGAGCGGCTTTCGTCGCGGGTGGTGCGGGTGCTGGGCTGTAACCCGGGGCCCATGACTCTGCAGGGCACGAACACCTACCTGGCGGGCACCGGGGCCAGGTAACGCCCCTGCTCGGG